CTACAATTTATAACTGAGATGCATGCCAAAAAAAAAAAAACCTGCTTGTCACATACCAAGAAATTTCTCAAAGTGAGTGTCAGAAACATGACTAAAAATCATGTTATCGGGGGGCTGGAGAGATGGCTCAGTGGTTAAGAACATTGGCTGTCCTTGCAGAACACTCAGGTTCAAATCCCAGCACCCACATGGCAGCTAACAACTCCGGTTCCAGGGGATCCAACAGCCTCTTCTGTCCTCTGAGGGCATTGGGAATTGCAAGACATGGGTGCACTTACCTACATGCAGGCAATACACACATACACATAAAATAAAAGCAATTTTAAAAAATATCTGTAATTGGCCGGGCATGGTAGTGCACACCTTTACCCTCAGCACTCAGGAGGCAGAAGCAGGCAGATCTCTGTGAGTTTAAGGCCAGCCTGGTCTACATAGTGAGTTCCAGGCCAACTGGGACTACAGGGAGACCCTGTCTCAAAAAAGAAATGTAATCATGGGGATGGAGAGATAACTCAGCAGTTAAGGGCACTGGCTACTCTTACAAAGAACCCAGGTTTGAATCCCAGCATCCACATGGTGGCTAACAACCATCTGCAACTCCAGTTCCAGGGGATATGACGCCCTCTTCTGTCCTCCATGGGCAGTGTATAACATGGGCGCACTTATAAACGTGCAGATGTAACACTCATATACATAAATTTTTTTAAAGTTTGTAAGTAAATTTTTAAAAATATTTTATTATTTTTGTTTCATGTGTACGAGTGTATTGCCTGCATGTATGTAAGTGCACCTGTGTCATGCAGAGCCCACAGAGACTAAAAGAGGGTTTCATATCCCCTGGAACTGGAGTTATGGTGGTTGTTAGCCATCATATGGGTACTGGGAACTGAACCCAGGTCCTTTGCAAGAGCAGTCAGTGCTCTTAACCACTGAGCCATCTCTCCAGCCCCTTCCCACCTATTTTTTTTGGAGCAGTGCTGTTTGTTCTTGATTTTCCAAAGCCTTCAGGTGTATCATTATGTTATTAATATGAGCTGTCTTCAGTTTTCTGATGTAGACACTTAGTGCTGCAACCTGAAACCTTTCACTCACATTCTTTTGTTGTTGCTGTTGTTGCTGCTGCTGCTGCTGCTTCTACTGCTGTTGTTTTACAACAGGTCTCCCTGTAGCCCCAGCTGGCCTGGAACTCACTATGTAGACCCAGCAGGTCTCAATCTCCCAAGTGCTGGGATTAAAGATGTGCACCACCATACCTGACTTTGCTTACATTCTTATCCCTTCTTTCTCTTCTTCTTCCTTTTCCTTCTCCTCTTTTCTTCTTCCTCCTTCCCTTCTTCTTCCCTCTTCTTCCCCTTTGATAAAGTCTGTCCTGAGCAAGGATGTTATGCTAAAAACAGAGAGACATGCTTGGGACTTTCCATAATGTCAGAATTTAATGAATCACAATATATTCACAAGGTACTGCAGTTTCAAAGGCAAAAGAAACTGCCTGATAATACTACTTTCCTTGAAATCTGGCTGAGGTAAACAGTAGTTCTTTTATTCCAATTAACTACTAAAGGTGGGGTGTGGCGAATTACTTTAGTCCCAGCACTCTGGAGGCAGAGGCAGGTGAAGCTCTGTGAGTTCAAGCCCAGCCTGATCTACATAGTGAGTTCAGGTCAGCTGGGACTACAGGAAGACTCTATCTCAAAAAGACAAAAAAAAAGATTAATTACTAATATTAATTCTCATATCACCTACCACTCATCACACAGTAGTGGATGATGGAAATGTAAATGGGGTCTGTAGTTATATAATAAGAAATCCAAACTTGCTATAGGGAAGTTACTACTGCTGTGGAGTTATACCACTGTAGAATCAGGGTAGAGGAGTGAAGATGCAGAGTTAAGTCTAGCAACAAGGTAAAAGGGTAGGACCAGGTTCAGTGCTAGAACAAATGGAAGGATGGATGGATGGCCCAGATGAGCCAACAAGAGGATAGGGAGATAGCAGTTGAATAGACCACACTAACAGGTGGACCTAGTCAAAGCCCCTGAGACAGGAAATCTCTTCTTGCCAGGTCCTTGATGAATGCACTGGGTATCAGATGATAGGTTAGTTGGACACACTAGGTGTAAAGGACAGGTTAGTGGAGGGGGTTATTGCAATCTTAGAGATGGGTATCCACCACTTTATTAGAGCCCAAATGTGGAATTTAGACCCTTTCCTCAGTGTGGTGTATCTGATAGGTTCTGGGGCCTGGTTTCTCTGACAACAGATTTTATGCAACCATGTACCCTTACCATTGAAAATCACACTGATAAATTTATAGCATGTCACTCTATCTCCTCCTGCCAATAAGTCATTTATCATTTTGTGCTGCATGGTACCAACCAAGACCCATCCAAGTGCAGGGTCATCCTCCATCCTCAAAATGAAATCAAAAGTTGCTTGTAAAATGGAGTCTTCCCATTTAAGACACAGTTTGAAAAACCAGTTTTATACAGAAATGGCAAACTGACTCCATTTTGTTCCAGCTGACTTTTGCTCACCCTATATTTCTGCCCCCCCCACTCTAACATAATGCTGTCATCCAGGCAGAACTATCATGAAAGATGCACTTCAGTTTCAGAGAACACGTTGTTTCTACAATACTAGGAAACTTACAACTAGCCAGGAAGTTCTGTCCCAGCTATACCTGAAGTCCATTGTTTCAGCAATTCTGAGAAACTTGTTTTTCCTCACAAAAGCTTAGAAACTTTTTGTTAACTGAAAACTTTGTTCACTGACCTGCCCCTGATCTAATGTAATTATGGTGATATGATAAAACTGTGGTTATTGGCTTTGTTCCTTGTATGATGTAATTCTGGATTTAGGCTTTATAAACCCTGCTCTGTGTCTCAGAGTCAAGAGTTCTTTCTGGTTATAGCCCCTCTGAATCATACCAGCTATTACTAATTAAAGGATTCTTTTTTTTTTTTTTGGTCTTTTTGAGGTAGGGTCTCCCTGTATCCCCAACTGCCCTGAAACTTGCTATGTAGACCACATTGGCCTTGAACTCACATAGATCTGGCCACCTCTGCCTCCCAAGTGTTGGGATTAAAGGTGTGTACCACCATGCCTGGCTCAAATGAAAGGATTCTTAATTTGACTATCACTATGTGGTATTCTCTGTGCCTTATTTTGGTATTACAATATAATATGGAGTAACAGGGCAGCGCCTGATCTCAAAAGTAGAACACTTTAAGAAAGGATACAGC